CAATTGTCTAACGTACAGTGGGATGAGAGATGAGAAGAAAGGACGGTATCCAATTAGTCGTAGGTTGGTGATGGTTACTGTTATACTGTTGTACTAAACTTACGACAAATAACAGTAACGACTATACAATAAGACTATTTTAGTATGAGTGCGATTGTAAATGGTATGATATAAAAATAACATTTAGGGATGGGAAGGGAACATGGAGTTGACGCAGGAGGAGATGCATAGGAAGAGGATTTCCCCTTGAGGAGAGGGTATTTTCCTCTTCATGTGCCTCTCCTCTTCCGTCGATAAAGGTGGGAAACGCATCCGCTATTGCGAATGTCTTAGGCTGCGGTCGCTTCTCCATATTGGCGAATTCAGGTGGCCGCTTGCTCGTCAACATCATTATACCTATTGATTTAGTACTTTTTGGGCTTTACGAAAAATCTATCAAAACGTTAAAAATATTGGTAAAGAATTTTAAATTTTTAAACATATCGGTTATCCACTTTTCGTATCGACAGTACTCATAAAAGTAATGCACGATTTACAGTACATTCGCAAAGTTATTGATGAACGACTGCATTTAAAATCGTGCGCGAGTGTACGGCATTTCTGCCAGGAAATATGCATTATTTGCACCGTCGACTGAATATTAATCATTCCACTCTATTAAAACGAAATTCGTATTCAGAAAGTGAACGGGGAAGATATCAAATAAATCTATAGAAAAAAATCACATTACAGATATTTTAAAGAACATAATAAAAACTGTAATTAAGTAATTCTCGTAATAATCATATTTACAAACTAATTACAACTAACCTTAAGACAGAAGAACACATGCCAGTAAAACGGGACAGTAGTTGACATGCCAGTAAAAAGTCAACGACACCGATATGAGACGAGACATGCCAGTTTACCAATGTCAATTCTATCCTCTACTTTCAACTAACACTCACGTAGTATTCACAATGTAATATATCTTCACATGCTTGTAGCTTGCTAGCTAGTAACTAGCATGTAAATGTGACAGCTACTTTCATGTGAATTCCCAGCTTTACGTCCAGTCTGCGCTGTGTTTTTAGACTCGATAGGGGCCTTTAGGTGTGATATGACCAAGGGCCTATAATAGACTCATCTTGTTAAAAGACCCCTGAGAGGTCTGAAACTAGTCGGTTGTCATAATGTTAATTCATACTCATAATAATATTTATTATAAAGGCGAAAGTTTGGATGGATGTTTGTTAGAGTTTGTAGCCTAAACGGCTGAACGGATTTCGATGAAATTTGCAACAGGTGTAGATGATAGCCTGGAAGAACACATAGGAAACAATTTTGTTTTTTTTTCAATTCCACGCGGACGGAGTCGCGGGGGCAAACTAGTACTAAATAAGGTTAAGTTAAAGTTAACTTGAAGTTAAGTTAAAGATAACGTTGAAGTTAATTTAATTTTCTCTGTTCCAGGTACAAGGCGATATGGAGAAATAAATAACAATTTCAGCAGTATTAAAAAAATCTCACACGCAATTCGATTGCGGAAATCTGGCAGCATTAATGGCACCAATAACTGACGCTTAACGAACTGATAGCGATCGAGATGAGAGCCCGCGTGTGAATATGTGACGTCACAATGTCAAAGATGTTCGCCAAAACTGACAGATTCTCTGACAGGAGAAAGGACGTCAGACTGAGCGTAACACGATGACATCACGATATTGCTCCTACGATTGTATAAAGTGAACGGGATTCGGTTTTTTAATACGCTTCACTAGTTAATGTAGTTTCGCTTCTTTGTATGTTGCCAGTGGGAAACCGAGTGTAAAGTATTATTCATTTGCGCGTATTATAATTTCTTGTTTAGTAGTCGATTTATTTTTAAATTCAAAAGCAATATTAGGTAAGATTATATTAAAACGATTTTTAACTGTAAATAGAGATTTTAAGAGTTTTATCCGTTTTAAAAGAAATTTTATAGTAGTACCGTAATTTATAATCAATACGTTAGAGTCTTAGTTTGGAAGTGATAGTATTTCTTTGATCTTCGAAATTAATTCCGTTCCTATACGCAATACTCGTTACAATCGGGGCCAAAACTTTCACTGTCTAAACAATACGTAGTTAGAATTGGATAGTTAGTTAAAAATGGTTCCAAATACAACATTATACGCTGCGAAGACGACTATGAGTACACATGTGAATGGTACATTGGGCTTGAATACATCATTTCTTGTTCCAACATACATCAGCCAGGAAGAATTCTTCGCTCTGCAGATGAACACATCTGAAACAAATTCGACGAACGATACAATAATAAATCAAGTTATATTAAAAACGTGGTATCCAAGTGGTTACTCACCAGCTCATATAATAATAGCATCAGTGGTTGTGACAGTGTTAATGATAATGGTGGTAGTGGGGAATATGTTAGTGATAATCGCAATAGTGACAGAGAAAGCATTAAAGAACATACAGAACTGGTTTATCGCATCGTTAGCGGTATCAGACTTCTTCCTAGGGCTAGTGATAATGCCGTTCTCTTTAGCCAATGAGCTGATGGGTTACTGGATTTTTGGTTTCTGGTGGTGTGAGATACATTCCGCGATGGATGTGCTTTTGTGTACAGCATCGATAATGAACTTGTGCCTCATATCTTTGGACCGCTATTGGAGTATAACTCAGGTGAGTGTAACTTAAGGATTCCTCTTATATCAGAATTTAGTAATATGTATACTTTTAAATACTGTACGAGTATATGTTTATTTCAGAAAACTTTCTTTTTCATATTTTTACAATTTAAATCAGATGTTATCAAATGTTTTTCCTCTTAGTTCCCTTTTGAAATTTCACTATCTTCGATGGACTCTTACTGTTTGGTGTTGAAGGGGAGAGCTTATAGAAAATTTATCCAAATTAAGGGAGTAGGGTTGATTTAAATTTCTACTTTTATTACACACAGGAATCGCAACTAAAGTCTTAAATGCTCGAAATTAGATAGAATTTTGGACAACCCAATATTTTCCTGTTATTATAGACCCCTGATCTCATGTAGACCTCAGGGGTAATAGATCACAATTATATAAAACTAGCTGTTAG